TAGTGATGTGAGTGAAAATATATAACAAATTGATATATATCAATTTTTGATACATATCAGCTATTATATATATGTTAATAGCTGATATATATCAATTTTCCCGCCATTTCATCAATAAAGCCAAATTTCAAACTTAACCTTACATTTTAAAACTAAAAACTTGTGGTGTGGTAGGCTTGAGTTGGACTGTAGTCCATGAATATAAAAATTTGAAATTTTAGGAGTGTACTATAGATGGGAAGAACTAAGAGTGCACGTAATTTCAAGTCACCCCTTCCACCCTAGGGGGTGAGGGGTGTTTTTTTTAGATGTACCCTACTCATTTTGCGAGTTTCGGATTCTACGCGTAAAACTACCCCCGAAAGCGCGTTCTTGCCGAATTCACACAAAAACCAAACCACCACCCTCGTATGGACTTTGTCGTTTTTTGGATGGGCATTTGGGCACATCTCCGTCAGAAATAAATATAGAAATCTGAAATTTTAGGGGTGTACTATAAGTGGGGCGACCTAAGAGCGAACGTGATTTCAACTCACCCTTTCCACCCTAGTAGGTGCAAAGGGGGTTGAGGGGTGGTCTTTTAGACGTATCCCCAGGAACGCGTTTCCGGGGGTAGTTTTACGCGTAGAATCCGAAAATCGCAAAATAGGGTACGTCTAAAAAAACCCCTTCACCCCACCCCCTAGGGTGGAAGGGGTGAGTTGAAATTACATGCGCTCTTAGGTCTCCCCATCTATAGTACACCCCTAAAATTTCAGATTTTTAAGTACTACTTTAAAGCAGTTTCTTTATTATCATAAGTTTTTGATAATTTTTATTTCAATTTTTATATTTAATTTTTTTTAAGTACGTATTGTGATATACAAAGACAAAATTTTCTTGTTCTAGAAACTTCCCATTTTTTATTTGTGGGTTGATAAAACTAAATTGCTAATAAACAGCGTACTTGCTTATAAACAGTCAGTAGTACGCAACAAAAATTAGAAATCATTATGATAAAAACAATAAAAAATTCCAATCTAAATATGAAAAAAAATAAAGATCACTTGATAACTTTTCTAAAAGTTCATATATATGACATGTATTTGGTGTCAAATTAATCAGCAAGGCATTAGCAATATAAAAAAACTAATTTGAGTATAGTTTTTTTTTAACAAAATTCATCTGATATATATAATGATATATATTTTGATATATATCACCCAAAACTAAATAGCATGCTATTTTACATCACTAGCTCTTGCGCATAAACAAATTATCGGAATTTAATCGGACTTGTCTTATTTTACAGATTTATTTAATACCTACCTTTTTTGTATAAACCTTTTTTTCTCTATGGATAACAGTTTTTTTACGTCAGTCGAAAAACTACATTTTCATAATTTTGACCATTGATTTAACAGTTTCCCAACTAGTCTCGAGTTGATTTTTTGATATTTTGTTTATAACACGTTTCTGAACAATATTACGCAGAAAAACTTCTAATAGTATTTTTTTCCCGAAAAAAAGCTATAATGATTGGCCTATTAGGCGTATATTGAAGTATATAAAAAAATATCATTGATAAATATTGCAAGATGGCGTTGCTGGAGGCATTCTCTCAAGACATGCTGAATTTAAGGCGCTCTATAACACGCAGTGTAGCTGGTGCAGATTTGAATTTGGAATAAAATAAATATCCTCTTAATTAATAGTCGAGAGTCGAGGAAATAAAGCACTAAAAATGGCCTTACCTCCGAAATCTGTGCAGTAAGATGGATCGTGATGCAGTTTTTTGCATTTGATTCGTTAGAGCGTCCAGAAAGTTTGTGACCCTATGTGATCATGAGAAATGAAAATTGCATCAGTGCACGTCGTCTCCTGGAGTTTTGTGGCAATTCATTATAAACTTAACCGAAACTCGTTATCTCGGGGTTTTTGAGGTCGCTCAACACGAATATCACGACGGTAATGGTCCTCGAGGTACCTAGTACCCAGGATAGCTGGTTTCCTTGACAACTATTTTATACTTAATTATTTTTTATTATAAAAATACATTTATTCATTACAAAAAATACATGTTTTCAAAAGAATATTATACTTAAGATAAGTATATGTGAGCAATTCACGGAATTTTACCAGCGTCGTCAACGATCTCGGCCCGTCTCGATGACAGATTAATATTATGGGAGTATTTATGGGACTATTTTGTAAACATAGGTTAAGCTTAGTGACTTTCAGATAGGCTCTAGCATAATACAGACGTATTATCACAGTACACAATATAAGTTAATTAAAAGTTGTTCTAAGAAAAGAATTTGTGTTTTTTTGGTTAAAAAGTGTTAAATTCTTACATATATTTACAATTAAAATTTTTCTTATTTCATGTGTGCACTATAACTTGGAGCGTATCCGTATATACTAGTAGCCAGCGGCCAGCAATTGGAGTAAACGCGCCAAATTTTAAAAAAAAAATTTGGATAATTTATTTAGATATTGGATAAAGCTTATGAAGATGACATCGGTACCTCGGAGACCATTACTGTTGTGATATTCGTGTTGAGCTGCCCCAAAAACTCAGAGGTAACGAGGTTCGGCTAAGTTTATAACGAATTTCCAGAAAACTCCAGAAGACGATGCGGAAACCGGCCACCCTGGACACTAGGTACCTTGGAGACCGTTGCCGTCGTGATATTCGTGTTCAGCAACCCCAAAAAACCCCGAGTAGCAAAATTGAACTCATTTCCGTCAATATTTTCCAAGTTATAAATTTTTCATATTTTAACTCGAGATGCAATTTTAAAAATGCATTTTTCTTATGCACCGATGCAATTTTCATTTCTCATTGATCACATAGGGTCACAAACTTTCTGGACGCTTTAACGAATCGAATGCAAAAAAACTGTATCACAATCCGTCTTACTGCACAGATTTCGGAGATAAGGCCGTTTTTAGTGCTTTATTTCCTCGACTAATTTAGCGAAACGGGATATATGTGTCCCACACACGACATAATTCTTTTTGTACCACATATGTTTACAAACCAAATTGGTTTAGCCAAATTTTACTGTATCTGAGTTTAAAAATTAAAAGAATTTTAATTTTTCGTATTCATCGAGTGATTACTAAGATACGGTTTATTTTGTAGGCTTCCATTTTGGTGTTGTCGATGAGGCAATATTGAAATCGACAAAGTTTTGTTTGAACAGAAGTTTCCAGAAATACGAGGAAGGCCTGTCAAAAATATCCGAACAAAAAAAAGCAGCGTTATGGACTTTGTATTTGGATTTCTTGATAGAGTTGCAGCAAGAAAACGATGTGGCGGCTATAATAAAAAAGAACAAACTTTTATCTGCCCTGGAAGCTGCAAGTAAACAGATTCCTTTGGAAGAAAAATATTTTATTGTTTGGGCTAAGCTTACAAACAACGAGGCAGAGACGGTTAAAGTTATAGAAAAAGGTGAGTAAATTTTTAAATTGGTTTTATTAGCTTTGCCATTTTTAATTTGAATTTAATAATAAATAGGAAAATGTTTTTTGACGAGGACTGTAGAAAATCTAAGCAAATTAGAAACGATATCTCTTTACTGTACCAGTTATACAAATTTTCTCCAGGGTGTAAGTCAAGTGTCAGTAAATTCAAAATAAGGAAAAAAGCATATTTTTACCTCCTATGTTTGTCTTACCTTTCCTGAACTTTGCATGCCTGTTGAACATACAGAAAATGGCTTACAGTACTATAAACATAATCACACCCTGTAGCAGGGGTCGGCAACTAATTTTTGGTGGGGTCCGGATACTTTTGAAAATCTTTGATGCTGTCCATAAAAAAACTCATAAGTATTCTTTACTAATTTTGTATTTTAATTTGTACTTACAAAATAATATGAAATACAATAGGCATATTTTCCTTCTTATTAAGCGACAATGAGCAAATCACCAGTACCAGTTGTCTGCGTTTCCACTGATACATAAGGTATTCCGGCCATCGCCGGGTCATTCATACAGAACCATGGAAGAGGAGTCCTACAGACATGACAGTTTGATGGCTACAATACAGTAAGCCACCACTACTTACCCGCAGTCCTTTGATGCGGAATCCAGGTACCCAGGGCCCCTGGATCAAAGCCAAGTCCACGTTTATGCGTGCCACAATAGCACAGTAAGCAGAAGAAGCAGCTCTACTGTGCTGAATGTTTGCCTGTATCACCGGGAATTTGACCAGATGACTTGGATTTTGGTCCTGATCTTCATCAGAAGGTCCCAAGCCTACCGTTCTGCAGGTTCTTAAAAAAGTCCCTGGTGAAGTTCAGAAGTGGTCTGAAATCCTCCTTCTGCAGTGCCTTTCACACTCATTTCATCAACTGAGAGAACAAGGGCCGGCCTTTCTCCTTAACCTTGCACTTAAATAGCCTCCAGGCCCTTGTCCTCAATGCCCCATTTTGGTTCTTCAGATCGCGCAAAATGGTTTCCGGTTCATCGGGGTGCCCCAGAATCCATACGATGAACTTCGGTAGGTACGTAAGGTCTAGCCCCCTCCCAAGGCACCAAGCTCACTGTAATTTGCTTACGATCGTGTGGGTATTTTCTGGGTATCCATGGGGGACCACCATTGCTTGGACTCTGATAGCACCTCCCCATAAGTCTGTCCCAGCGTGGGAAGACTTATCGCTACCGCCCACGTTTTTTTAAGAATCCACTTGGCCCCGGTTCAGCCGCCTGCGGAGTTAGAGTGGTACTTGAGCCAGGTTCCGTCACCGGCCCCTGTCCTTTTCCCGCCTCTGCCTTCCGCAGTTTTTTGAGTTTGCGCACCCGACAATTGTTTTCTACCCTCCAGGTTCAGTTTGTCTACTCCGCTAGAGATAGTAGTCGCTGGTGTTTGGCTTCCCAGTGACTGTCCTTATTTTCTGCCTAGTCAACACTTGCTGCTTCTCCAGCAGTTGTGGAAGGCCCTCTTTCGGGTTCTTGTTTATTTTTATTTTCTTGGTCCAAAAAAGTCCTACGAGTTTGGAGGAAATATAGGTCACGATCAGTACGATGGGGTTTGCCACATTCCGCAAAAAGATCATTCGCGATGCAAAATTTTTACCTACCCCCGCACCATTCAGCCCTCGACATGATGCATTTCCACCTTAGCATGGGTAGCTGACCTGTTTCTTGGTTTTCATTATTCTCCCTTGACCTTTCTGGCCCTTCTGTCGGTTTAGCTCTTGGAAGAGAATGTAACCTTTCTGAATTCTGAACCAAATCATCATATGAAATAAACTTATTAATAACTCTTTGACAAATTTACTTAATTTAAAAGTGGCTTTTTCTTTCTTATCTGGAAATATTTTTCTGAATAAATTCAAGCTATCAATAAATCCTACAACTTTGCTGAATTCTTCTGTTAACGCAACTTTCTTTTATTTTTGCAATTATGTGCAACTAGTATGCGGGGCTTGATTATATCGCTTAAAAAAGTTAACAAATCCTGTTTAACTAATCTTATAGGCGATGATTGTACTTTTTCTCCATATTTATATAAATCACTGCCTAGATTTGATAATCCCCGTACATCAGAAGCTTAAAATACCAGCTTCCAGATAAAAAAAAACTATTGCTGTGGAATGATGATCCAGATATAGAGTATTCCCTTCCAGTTCGTTGCTAATAGTACCGATGTCGGTAGCAGTAACAGCAGGCATCTTCAATAACCACATATAGTTAGTTAGTCCTTCCAGATTGGTTTTTCAACTGAGTTCCATTTTTTTAAAGAGTATTGATGTAATTTGAAAGCTGATATTTTAGCTTTCTCAGATCGTATTTTGTCAGATTTTGTGATACGGTCAATCTGTTTGGATACATGAGATTCAGTACTCAAGTTCCACTTTTGCAAGTATCTATATTTTTCACCTATATTTTTCTGCGTTATGAAACTAGCTACTCGATAATCATATGATTCCGAGCAGTCTTACAGCTTTTGGAGCTTTTTTAGAAATCATATTATTCAAACTTTTGTTTGCCTGCGTTGAACCACATCATACAAAAGTTTCAGCGTTGTCAGTTAATTTTTGGAAAACAGTTTTCAGTTCCTCTAAAAGTATTTCATTTTTTAAGCCTCCATTTACTATTCAGTGTCTTTAGTTTTCTTTGTCTTTTGTATATCTGCACTAGTCACCACATTTATCATGAATATTAACGGTGAGAAATATTTTTACATCACCTGCCATTTTTACAATATTACCACGATTCTGCGCCATAGCATATGTGAAACATTTATGTAGATATTTTATCACTTCCAAAGTCAACACCTTATCGGGATTCTTACTTAATCAAATTTGTACAATAAACTTTTCACACCTTTGGACTTATGATTTTGATCAGATTGCTTTATAATATTATAATTCAATGCTTTTTTTATTGCTCACATGCTCGAACTATCATTGTCTCCAATAAAAATTCCCACTTCGAGATTTGCTTCTTTCAATACTGACCTTTAGCGACTAATTGTACAGCTACATCTGATTCCATAGCTTTTGCTGTCTCAAAGTAATTCAGTTTTGTTACCGTCTTTGTCGCACATTCGACATTTCCGATTTCTCGTTGCATAATCAATAACCTTTCTCCACCAACTGGACATTTAATTCGTATAAAAATAATTTCATCAAAAAGCGAAAGAAAACTCTAATTTACTATTTCAGCTCCTCTCGGTTTACAGAAATTCTAATTTCTTACCGCTCTGAAGAACTACTTTTCTGATAATTGTTGTAACAAAAATTGAACTGACTCAAATTTTACCTTAATTTAATTACCTCTCGAACACAATACCTTTCTTTAACTATTTGGGAGTATTGAACAATTTCAACTTATCCCGTTACTACTCTTCCTGGTACTCTTTTACTTTCAACGACTGCCCGACTTCTCCCTGGCCTCTCGCGCTGATTCAGCATTCTTACTCTCTAGGTATACCAGGTGTTACAATGTCTAATTGACTTATTTTTAAAAGTCTTTCCTCTTTGCAAGCTACTATACAACTTTCTCCGCCTACGATCTCCATGACGGATCCGATTTCTCTTATCATGAGTTTTAAAAGTTTTTACATGCATGGTTGGTTCATCAAACTACAAAATTTGTTTAGAGATATGTGTCCGTATCCATAGGGTATTGCAGCTATAAATATTAAATTAAATGAATTATTTACATAGGCTGTAACATAACACAAAAATCAATGTAAACTTACCAAAAGCGGCTTTCGAATATGTATCATATACGAGCTGTCCATTAGATGCTTTATGCACTTTGCTTGTAGGAACAGGAGTTGTTGCAAGACATTTTCTGCATCGAACCGTAAAAATTGAGGCTAGTCCTTTCGTTACTTCTTACTCTGTATCGTCAAGAGAAAGAACCTCTTTGCAAAACGAACAGTATATATGTTCTGCCAGAACCTTCAATTCGACAAGACGACGTCCCTCTACCATACACTGAGCTTCTTGATAGTTATCTTGATTCTCGGTTTGCACATTTTGCTTTTATCTCATCGATTCTGGCTATTTACACATCTTTCATATTGCTTTTCAGTAATTATTTTCCCTTTGTATCTCGGACGCTCATTCGTATTTACCTTAAAGAAATTGTATATGCTGTGGATCAGCAGTATTCAAACTGTGTTCTGCAAACCCTGGGGTACCACACAACCTCTGGGGGTTCTGGTCAAAAATTCAAAATTTTGAAATTAACAATATCGATACTACAAAATTCAAAAAATGTATACTCTTAAAAGTAGTACATATTTATAAATATATTATATAATCAGTAAAAAAATATGTTTTCGAAACTTTATTTAGGTGTGGGGGGGGGGTCCTCAAAAAAATTGAAAAGTTGGTCAGGTTCCACTAGACTGCTGCTCTATATGCATTTCTTTGTTCATCTGTTACAATTAGAAAAGTACAAAACACAGCCTGAGTTAAGTGATTTGATATCCACTTGTTAATCACCCTGTCATAAAATCTGTAGTGACCCTGTGTAACAGATTAAAATGTTCTAAGAATTACAAGAAAGTTAAAAAAAAAATTGCTGTTTATAAGCTAAAGCAATTTTATTGCATCAAAATATCTAAAATGAAAATTGTATAAAAGGTCTCCATAAAAGTCAAATATTTTTACAAACAAAATTTAAATAGATATACAGGGTGTGCCATGTTAACACTCCCACTGCCAATATCTCCGAAATGAAGAAATTAATTTTAGTTCTGGTAACTGGGGTGTTGGGTTCCTCGAATAGCCTCAAATTGCAGTTAGAATTGTTAGTACAAATCTTTCTGTATAGATGGCGTGGCGATACTAAAAAATTTCTGATGGAAATACAGTCCATCTGAAATATCGTTAAATGTGGAGTAATTTTTGTAATATAAAGTTTTTCCCAATATTTACTTGTTTTCGAGACATGTAGACTTCAATATGCAATGTATGATGTAACAGGAAAATCTGTTATTTTATTTAAATCACACTGAGACAAAATATTCCTTTAAAATATTGTTATAGAATGGCTCTATTCACACCACATACTAACAAACAAAAATTATAAATAAACATCCCAGATTTTATACATTTTATACTTATTGCATATAACACGATATTTGCTGTTTGTTTCCTCTTAAAACAAGAATTAAAAAATTGGCGAAAATAAAACCTATTGATTTTTAGGACTGGCAACAGCCCCAAGTTCTATAGAATTGTGGAAATTGAGGTTAAGGTGTGCCATTATTAAAGACCATGTAAAGGACGTCAATCAAATATTTAACAGAGGACAGTTACAGTTAAAAGAAAAATCTGCCCCTCTATGGATAATGACCCTTAGATATCACACTTTAACATCTGGCAATGAAGTACTAGAACTAATTTATAAAGGCGGGATCGAGCAACCTAAAGAGATTTCCGATATCTTCAAACCGGAATATATCGAATGGCTTGCATTGTGTAAGGGGATTAGAAACGCCAGGAAAGCATATAATTTATTAGCTCAACAAAAGCCATATTGCAAAGAATTACACAACGCCATGTTTAAAATCGAATCATTAGAGATGGATCAAGACGTCGACGAAATGGAAAATGTTCTTAAATTAGCATGGGAACAGTTTGGGAGCGAAGATATTGAAGTATCCATAAATTATATACAATTTTATCTACAGAACCACAAAACATTTGAGGACAAAAATCCTTCTTTCGACGTTAATGACAAAATTTTAGACATTTATAGAAAAACTGTAAGCAGATTAGAACAGTGTAACGATCCATTGTTGTTGTCCAATTTTAAGGAGAAGTATGATTCAGTAAGAAACTCAACGGATATTTAAGGTACACGATTGTTTTGTAAATAATATAAATATTTTTGGATACGAAAATCTTTAAAAAATTCGTAATAGTGATGCAACCTACGTGATAATAATGTGTGGTTACCAGATATTTCTCTCAACATTACTACTTTGGTATTATGGTAATCTGGTACAGTTAATTTTTGTATGAGGTAAAGAAAATTAGTGTTAAAATATGATCGTCTGGGATTTTTTTACTAGTAAAATGATAATGGGTATGTATGTGTGAAAAATTGTATATTTCTAAACTTCGAAGGCTTTGCACATTTTACTGATTTGAAATCATATTGTCGCGGATTTTGGTAGGTCGGCGGTTGGGCGCCATGTGGGACGATTCTGGCTGCAATTGTGAATCTGAATGAATTGTAGACTTTTCTTGAAGAATTGTTACGGGTACTCAAAACATGGGCGAAATAGTACATGCTGCGCCAATTTGTTGCATAAACAAACATCGCCATATTTTAACAAACTTTTTTTGTCTCTTACAAAAGTGATTTTTACCTATCAATGGACACCTGTACATTGTGTATTTGTTTTTAGTTATCTCCTCTTAATTGTAGATATTTTAAAATAAAGGTGAACACTATTATTCCATCCATATCCCCCCATTTTTAATCTTGAATTCCCATTCATATTCCTCAAAAAATTTTTGTGAATATTCGGGGAACGAAAAGTTATTTTCTTCCAAGTTCAGAAAACTATAACTATTGGAAGCAACATAACCTAAGATTTACAGAAAACGGCATAATTTGTTTTCATGTCAGTCTTAAAAAACTGTAGGTTTGTCCAAAGATTTTTAGGGTTTTATTGGGGCAGTAAATTTAAAAATATTAACGATTTTCAGTACGATTGAAAGTACAATTTTATGCTGTTTATAGCCATACAATACTTTGCCTGGATTGAGATTTGCTATACTTTGGCAAAAACCCATCGATATGAATTTTACTCCATATTTTGAAGTCAATTCGATGCATTTAGTATTTGCTCATTGGTTTGGTGTATTTACAGTTATGTGAATAATTGAAAGAGTTTGATCTACTGTTTGTTCATTAATGTTGTTATTCTCCTCTCGATGGCAGATTATGTTTAAAAGAAAATTTCCAAAGTAATTAGATAATAGTCTTCAGTCAAGGTACTTAAATGATAACTTGTAAAGTTAAAGATTGGGAGCGAAAATAATTGAAGTCTCCGTTCTACTAAAATTAAAGAGTTAAAATATCGAAGATAGCAGATATGTTAATATACAGGTCTAATGATATTTATGCTTTTACTTACATTTTCATTTCAATAAACATTGGTGGATTAGTTCCAATCAGCAGTAATGTAATGCTGATGACAATGTTTATTGTTTGATTTCATGATTATTTCTTATTTTGTCATTCCTTCTATATTTGTGTTTGTGTTTCCACCATACATTACTTGAAGATGTTTTGAATAGGGCAGTAATGTGGAGTTGTTTCAGATAATTACTGTTTTTATGTAATGGAAACTATGCTTGAATTTCTAGCTAAGCTACAAAATAGAACTACTAGGTTTTACTTAAGACAGTTAAGAGCCAGAAGTGAATGTTCTTGGCAATTATTTCTTCTGACACTGCATCATTTTTAAAGGTCATAAGGTTCATGATTCTATCTAGATAGAATACCTAGTGGATTTGATACCATTGGCACTGTTTTGTTTGATATTTTGGGGTCTTTCTTCAGCAATTTGAAGTTTTACTAGATGGTATCTCCAGCACAAATAATGAGATCATACTGCAATTCGAAGGACAAACAGCATGTTTAATTTGTGGTTAATACGCTTGGAAAGTTTCAAATGATGCATTACAATTGACCATTATTAGCTCCGACAGTTCTGAGAATTTTCTTCTCAGTAAAACGGGCATATCTTGTACTACATCTGGAACCAGGTGCCTAAATTTGGCAAAATTTTCATTTACAACAATGTCAAATGATATGCTGTCCAACGCGAAAGTTTGTCCATTACCATAACCTTGGAGAGCAGTGCGACTATTTGGATTACCCTGCAGCTTCAGTCATTGGGTTTCGACCTATTGATGGTACTACAAGCACTACTTAAATCTATGTATGCCAATGTCGAGGTTCCATTAATCAAAAAATATAAAAATTTTTACTTAGCTGGTCCGTTATTAGTCATACAACCAATTAGTCAAACAATTTTCATCAAGGTGGACAACACGAAAGGAATTGCAACTTTAACCAGACATCTCATTAGATTTCTGACTTTGAAGTGTTTATTCTTACTTTTTAACTGCTGCTGCTGAAAATGGCCACTTGCTATTTTAAATGTACTTGCCCTATTAGTTAGGCAAGGCTTAATATAGCACTCGCACCCTTTTGCGACATTGGAAATTCATGGTTTACTTATTTTATTTTTTGGTACTTAACAGTGGTCTACTGAATAATCTATCCATCCTCTTTGGACAAAAGAGGAATTCTGTCTTCCCCTTTTCATCATTTGTTTTCTCGAAGACTACAACCTTGGATGTATCTAATCCACAGTAAGTGTTCTTTCACATTTTGAAGACCTTAGCATTTGATATGACTTTTTCATCTCTTTAATGTATGTATATCTGTCAAAACTGCCTTACCTGCCATTGGATCACTGCCTAGCAGCTAGGAGCGTCTACAACATCTGAGATTGCTGTAACTTCATCCCTTAAGAATGCTTCGTGGAGATTGTTGAAAGCAAATTGTACGGAATGAATTTGTTTGTCCCACAACTCTTCAGGAGTAGAGGATAGAAGAGCTGCAAGAATATTACTGTTCCGTTCAACTTGCCCATTTGTTCTAGATGTAACTGCGGCATTTACAGTGTGTCTGCCGTTGTTATGACAGCAAAAGTTGTGAAATCTCTTTGATGTAAAGCAGCTCCCTTGATTTCATATAAGTATTCGCGGTACGCCTTATGTATAAAAATATCTCTGAAATAATCTATACACTTGTTTTAGTGCTCTTAGCTACCATAAAAATACAAATATTAAATCAGTAATTATCAATGTATAAGTCAATTGCAACTATAAAGTATATTTTTCCTCTTGAACTTAGAAGAAACCTCATGTACTCTACATGGAAAGTGTGTAATGGCGTCACAACTTTTGGAATTGGGTGTAATAGCCCTTTTCCTTACCACGAGTTCGTTTGTTCTTCAAAAGACGTTGCTATTTCACTATTTCCTTCGATGCTTCAATCATTATCGCTACTGAGCCTTCTACATTAGCTTCGGCAAGATAACTTCCATCTCCCAATACGCTTGACTGTTATCAGGTCAGTATCAGAATTTGTCGGCATTGTGACTGCAAACCAGGGGAAACAATGACTGGTACACATTTCTGAATTCGTCAAATATGGTCAATTTTGTTAGGAATAACATACAAATTGGATGGTACACTTTTCCTTAGAGTGAGGCACGATTTTAAAATGCAAGTCTACGTATTTCCTGATAAAACCTTAAACACACTCCATATTTTTTGTTGGCAAACTTCAATGTATCTATAATATCAGATCTAATTTCGCCGATGTCAGGCAATATCTGTCTAAGATCGCCTCCAAAGATAATAACTTTGCCTTCCATTGGTACCTAACCTAACCTACTTTAGCAATACAATCGATGAATCGATCATTTTAGGAAATTGCTTCCTGGATTCAACACAAACCATGATGATTTTTGGGTCAATAGATTCCCCCCGGTTTTTAATGCATCTTTTTCCATATCTGAAGGAAGTTGTCCTTCAAATTAATTTATGTATATTTCTACTTTTACTTTGAGGAGAACAAACAACACAGCACAAGGCAGAACTGTAACCTCAACTGTCCACTGAGACTTTAAATGTGGCTGAATTATTAAATGATTTTTAATTTTCGTTGGAATTAATACGAACTTTATTCGTTCAATTAACATTTTCAGAAATATGTATTCTTGGAACATATTTTTTTCTTGTATCAAATGTACATACGTAGGACTGCAAGAAATTTATATTCCATCACTGAGTATTTCCTTCAATGCTTCAACCATTCTCGTTATTGAGACTTCTACATAAGCTTCGGCAAGATGATTTGCACCTCCTTATATGCTTGACTGTTATCAGGTCAGCATCAGAATTTGTCAGCGTTGTGGCTGCAAACCGGCGAAAACAATGGCTGATAAAAATTTCTGAATTCAGTAACTTACAGATTGGATGGTACACTTTTCTTTAGAATGAGGCACCCTTTTAAGACGCAAATCTATATTCTTCTGACAATAACGAAACCACTTGCTCCATATTTTTTGTTGGCAATGCAAAGCGACAGATATTGCTTAATTTTCATGTCAGTAAGTGAGGCGATTGTGACCGATTTCCGATCATCAACATTAGAAGTTTTTTAAACATATAAATCATTGGACAGGCACGCCCAAAATCTAAATTATTATTTTTCAAAAAAGTATGTAAAAAAATGTCACCTTCATAAACAGATAGTCGTCGTCGGAAGCAGTGTACTGGAATCGATTGAAATATAGTCAATAGTCATCTTGCACTATCTGAAAACACTATGAGACATTATTTGATTGAGCGGTCTCGTCGGACATTTTATTAACTTCGATATGTCACAATTTATCCCATTGGTATTCTTGGGGTATTGTGGATACCCCTTATCTGTCGACCCCTTCTTTGGCCAACTTGGGCGCCATTTGAGCCACCTCTCGAGCCACATTTTTTAAATATTGAGATTTTTCGTCTTGTGGCAGCCACCCTGCTACAGATCTGTCATCTAAAGTAAGTGGTAATCGAAACGTTCTGTGGACAGTTTGGCGGTCAACCAATAAATTGGCGACAGTACCAGTCCAAACTAATGCGGTTACACTCATACGAGAAACTTCGCAATAAATTACAATACGTCAGTAACATATTGTAATATGTCTCCGGAGCCTGCGGATCCGACTACGTAAAACACGGATTCCTGCTGATCTGTTGGTAAATTGTCCGTAGATGCATCGACATCATCTAGAGAATTTAGTTGATGGTAACGATAGTCGTCGTCGTCATCGTCAGTCGGTCCGTTTTCAGTTACCGTCGCAGTACCGCTCGTTATTTTCGACTACGTCAAAGTAACTTTCATATTTTGCGAACCTGTGCTTTGAACATGTTCATCAGCCGGGATTAGAGATGGCCTTACTGCCATACCGACACGAACGAAATCCTCTATCATATAACAGCTATATTAGATTTATATTAAAGCAAATAGCTCGCGTCTTTTAGGACAATGATTTAAGTTTAAATAAGTACGCCGCTTGCACGATTCTACGAAAGCATCAAGTATTTGCCCGTCTACAGTTCGCAAGTCTTCAAAAGACGTTGCTCCCCGTATATGATTAAGCAAAATGCGTAAGTACTTCTCTAGTCGATCGGCGGCAATGCAACCGACCATTTTGGCAATTTGCTTCCAGATAACCCACTGGCATCTTTTCCCGCCGCCCCAAGTATATTTTCTGGGATTTCTACATATTTATATTACCGAGGATTGATTCAACACAAACCATGCTGATTTTTGGGTCAACAGTTTCCCCACGGCCTCTAATGCATTTCCACGCCCATCCATG